AATATTCGTCTTCATTTAATAGAGAACCGAATGCGTAATATATCTTTTATTTATATAAAGATTAAATGCTTATCATAATAACTCAACCTTTTATATGTTGTCGGACGAAATTCACATAAAAGTACCTTAATCATGATAAAAGTTTTTTCTCTTTAAGAATTTAATGGCGCCTTTAAGTTCTTTTTCAGGAAAGATGACAAATGGCATGTAATCATTCTTATAATTACGTGCCGATTCGGATACAATATATTGTAAAAAAAAAAAAGACTTTTCTTGATTAAATTTTATGCACAACATAATTAAAATAATAAAATGTACTACAATAAATAATAGCATGTGTTTTATATGCAAGAAATATTTATAACGTTTCACACTAATAATAAGAATTAAGACTTTCGCGAGTACATATTCGTCTAAATTAAACTAATATTTTCGGATTACTACGCGTTATTTTATTATTTTTAAAACTACATACTCCCGAATTTTCGGTTGCTAAAAAAGTAGCCGAAACGTCGGGAGTATGTAGTTTTTTACGTGTAGTATATCCAAAAAATATTAGTTTCATTTAAATCAAACTAATCATATTTTACGATAAAACAAACTAAAACTTCTTTCGATTGTTATTATTCAAAACGTTTGTTATAAAGTCAGTGTAAATAACGTGCTTATCCACTCTTTAGATACAAATGAATGAGATAAATTTTGGCTGAAACCCATTGAACAGAAATCCGAACCACTAAAAGCACCGCAATATCTCCCGCCGGCAATCGGCTGATGATTTGATTTAATAATCTCAGTAAATTAGACCTCACTCCAGCTCGTGTTATCGTTATAGCTTAAAAGTATATATGTATACAAAATAATGAGCAAAAACTGTTGCTAACTGACAGTTTTTTTCTAATTAAAACCAGCTTCAACGAAACGTCTGCTTACGAAAGCCGATAATTACAAGATTATTAAAAACGAACGAGACATTCCATGGAGAAATCTAAATTATAATTATATATGACACAAAGTATATTTTAATTAAAAAATGATTACAATTTATGAGAAATTATAACAAAATTTCTATGTTTATAATATGAAAATAGTAATAGTTTATTAAACAGTACGACACGCATTTTACGTACATGTATTAGCAGTGAATGTACGTCAGGATGTATATGAGGACTAATTTATAATTAGAAACTCCGTGTTTCGTGCCGCTTGACTGAGACGAACACTAAACCGTACTCAATAAACGCTTATGCGATTAAAAATTATACCTCCCTAACAATTAGTGTCTGTGACATATTAAACTAAAAATAGTAACTCGTGGAACATTCCTATAACGAGTAGAATCTAATTCTTTCAAAGAACTGTAGTTATTTTATTCTGTTATTTGTTTAACACAACTAGTTTATTTAAAACTAAACAAATCAAGTTGTTATTAACCAGTACAGCTAACACGTTTATACTGAATACATTCGATGATGTGAGAGAACGATAAATGTACGTACATTCCGATTTTCAATACATATCTTACGAACGTTTAAAACGCTTCAAAGGCTTATCACTATGACGCAATATTCTATAAATCTACACTTTAATAATGGTAATATTGTATAGAATTCGCTATATACCGTATCTGCGATTAATTCTGTTTTTTAAGATTTGGTATGCAGAATAAAAATTTCGTTTTCCATCTATTTAATAGCACATAAATGTCAATGTAGAAATAATATACAATGAAAACGTGGGCGTTATTGATAGTCGAATCCACAGTTTTTATATAGGTATGGTAATAAGAATTTGATGATATGTTTGTTTGCCAAGGAATAGAATCTAAGAAATATATTATTCAACTAATTAATTATTTTATCCTAGAAGTTATAACATTGTATCTAAATTGCAAGGAAAATGTTTACGTTTTGTGTTAAAACTTTTTCATTTGACAGCGGTAAAGGTGAAAAAAGAGTTATAGATTAAAATGACTGGAATTTCACCTTATCATGATATTGACTAGGGATCTAAAGCGCTCTAGGTATTGAGACCTGACTCCTAGAAAATACCTTTATGTATCAAGTATCACGAGATGCTTGAAAAGTAATATACGCAAAAGGTTCTAGAAAAAAAATTCATTTTATAAGCACCTTTCCAAGACGACATTATTATTGATAAACTATTCTTATGACGGGGAAAAACTCTTAGATCTTTAAAGAAATATTTCTTTCAATCTTAGCCATATTAATAATAAGCTTCAAATCTGACTCTGAATTTTCTTTCAGCAACAAACATGAGCTTTATATTAATCATTCTTTGTTAAGATACATGATCATCTTCGAGGGTTACACAAAAGATTTTGGCAGTTACAAATTCTGCTTAACGTCGTCCTTTATCAAACGAAACGTTAAAATCTACTTGACTGATAATTTTTCATTGATATTCATAATTAATGTACTTTTTCTATAGGAAAATAGCTCGAACAAATAATATATAAATATAAAAAATACCTAGGGGAGATTTTGAAAGTCATATTGAGTTAATTCAGCTCCAAATTAAAACAAAAAACGTTGTTTAAATGCATACAATTTGTTTTACCTCAGTGTACCAAGTATAAAATTTCCATGTAAAAAGGATCAAGAGATTACGAGAGTACGAAGTTTTGAATTTCAAAGAAATATATCGGAAAAATGCGAATTTCGTAAGTCGCATAATTCTATCTCCCTTAGCATTATTTGGCCAAAGTTGGGTATGTATTTCAAAACAACTGCAACATTTGAAGTGAAAGTTTAATCTTTTCGTTTCTTTCAGTTAACAAGTAAGAGACTCCTTTTGTAACAGAATACCTTTGATCAATGATATTGACGTCCATTTAAAAATCTTAACTAATTAATGAAACGAAGATATTTAAGATCCCGAACACAGAAATACCTATTCAAGAAAGCAATGTATATTCTTAAAGAGCAATCAATTGCCGTATCTGTTATCCCTTTAGTTAAGTTAAAATCCCAAATACATGCGAAGTTTTCAACCTTTAATAATATAAAACATACTCTTTAACGCGTACTGAATACTACTTAGATATATTAAATTGTAATAAAATGAGTAGTAGTAAGTATTTTTTAGTGTCTATTGTTATAAAGGGTATTATAATCTACAACCTTAATACTTTTAAGATTTTAAATACAAGTAAAAATTTACGCGAACATCATTTTTGTTTGAGAAATTATTCTATTATCTTATTTCAAAGATAATCCATATATATACCATCATTTGTGTTCCTTTACAAAGTATTATATGTGTTTAAAAAAAAGAAATATTTAAGAATATACGTTTTAATATTTCATCAGTTTCTGAGTTTAATTATGTTGAGTTGACATGTAAATGAGATTAAATTTTTTTGATATAAAAGTAATTTCAGGAGATATGATCTCATAAAGTGAAGACTTAGATTCAAATGACATTGAAATTCAGAGTTTAATGCTTTACTGATTGTGAGTGTATTAATAAGCGGTTTTATTTAAGGCTGCGTAAAAATTGTATTCAAACATTCAAGTCCCGAAATCTTCTAGATTTTACAATTTATGATATATATTAAATTGTGATGCTATTACTGAGAAATTTACTTTTGAAACTTCACTTACAAGTTATGTTATATTGTGTGGAGGTAACAATGGATAGATCTTTCATTGGCTTCTAAGAATTTGACATAGACGAACATAGTCCATATAACTTGGTGAAATATTTCAGTACATAAGACAATATAGAAACAATTACACGTTTATTTAAAAAAATCCAATATTACCTTCAAAATCTTACAATTCTTTTCTTAGCTTTGTATGAGATAAATTGATCTTAGAAGTTTCTAAACAAAAGATAAACAAAATTTCAATTGAAATAGACATGCCAGTGTCAAACGAATGGATATACATGTATTTAAAGTCTCCATTTGTCTTTATAAGAATATCTCAAAGGAGCAATCACTTCAAATTCCTTTAAAAGATCAGTAAGTGATTGATTCTTTCAAACTATATGTATCATCCCAAAAACGGTATTGTCTCACTGTTTTTTACAAGGCCATAATCACAATTCTCTCTCAATATCAAAGAAAGTAATTTTAATAGTAATATATATACCCAAGCTATAATACTGAATATCAATGTACATCTGCTGCTACTGCTCTATATTGAAACGATTTTTAATTTAGAAAAAGTTGCTCAGTGATGCGTTAACTTGTTATGTACACCGTACACGCGTACAGTTATATTAAGAATCTTCTAAATCTGATTCACCTACTTATCTCACATTGAATTTTGTATGAAACTTGCGTCATACGTTTATGGTCTGAACAGAAACCCACATCCGTAACTGTGTGTCAACTTTATAATGTACGCGTATATTGTCATAAAAATGTTTTATATAAAGACGATTACGTTATTGTCTTAGGAAGACAAACGCTATAATCCTATGTTACTCTTTTATACTCTGAAATATAAGCATCATATATAAAGAATAAATTATTATATACCTAATAATAAATACATCTTAGCCTATTAATTCAATGAGTTTAAAATTTGTTACCAAGAACCCAGCTATATTTTAAACGCTAATAAGTTTAGTTTATATTATATTAAATACGGGCTCCGCGCTAACTAGTAACGCTAGCATATTATGTTATTTTATTTTTATATATATTTTTTTTATTAACGTCATACTCGTCGATTAATTACCGCTTTATCAATACGTATATATATTGAAAAAATAATAAGCTGAGAAAAACATCGCCAAGGCGTTAATATATACAGCATTTAAATAGTTATCAAACGATTCATATAAAAAGTATCTAAACGGTAATAAAATATTATGTGTAGTTTTTAGGCTAGTCTGTTTTAAAGTTGGGATTTTTTTACTTATAATATAAACACCAAATCTATAGTACACTAAACATGCAGAAGGGGGTTGCGAACGTGCGGACGAAAAAAAAAATCTGTGCGTCAACTATGTAGTTGGAGATATTCTCAACGAATAACTGGAAGAGAAGAAATAGATGGAACAAGTGAAGTCATAGTACCAAAGAAGATAAGGTCGTAGGACATTCGTCGAAGAGTTTGATATAATTTACATCGGTCTGAGTCAGTATTGATATGTACCACAAATGATGACGTTCGCAGCCCCAGGGACACGGGGTCGGAGACAGTCTCATGCGAAGCGGGAGGGGCGACGGTGGGGCATGAACGGGGCTCACTGAGAGGATGGTGCGGCGGCACGGAGAACGTGTAGTACTTGGCCGTTTGGTTGTGGGCGCGGAGAACGGAGCTGTGCGTCAACGTCACCACCACCACTAGCACGGAGGCCAGCGCTAGGGCGAAGAAGGACGCTGCGACGGCGGCCACCACGCGCCGTCTGCGAGCCTCCTTGCCCGCGTCCTCAGCTGGCAGCTCGGGCTCGGGCGCGACCGGCGGCGGCGGCTCCGGGGACCGGCTCCTCACGCTCGGACCCCGGCTGTTCGGCAACTCCAACGTGTGCCGTCTCGAACGACGCGCCCTCTCACATTCAGCGGCTGAGGAATGATGGCGCCGGAGACGATGAGGAGCGCCCGGCGCCGCGCGGCATGAGGCCGAACGAAGCGTGCGCACGGGAACTATCAGGTCATCGCTGGCTACACGTGGCACACGACCGGAGTGTACTGATCTGAAGGAGTGCTCGCGAGCTGACCCACTAGGGAAGGCGAGGTCTACGGAGGCGCGGGAAGAGTGTCGAGAGAAGCGATCACGGTCGCGGTGATCCGTGCGCACCGACATGGTAGGAGCGTATCGCGCGGCTGCGGCCGCACGACTGACGGAGACTCCCGGCCCTCCCCTAGCGTGGTCACGCCGCCGCCCGCCCGTCCTCAGAAACTGTTTACACTCGTCCCCGAGCACAAAGACTGCTAGCAAAATATCTACATGTGAAAACGTTCTCCGAATACCTACACGTAAACGACTATTTACACTAGTTAGAGATGTTTAAAAGTTTAATCTTTACATATGAAATTAAGCAAAGATTTACCCTACGGAGATTTCTATTTGATCGTTAAAGAAAAGGTGCGAGAGAATTACTTTTGAATCACTAAGGCGGTATTTTTCAATATAACGTTTTCATTCCTGGTCCGTATTTATGTTGTATTTTACAATATCAATAACTTTCCATGACCCATTCCACAAATGGTGCGCAAAATGGACCACGTTCTCTTTTGTTATACCCCTACTATGACAAGTTAAATTGTCTAGAGGCGGACAACGAAACAGATAGTGAAGTTGTCATTGGAACACTACATCGACGTTATTCAATAGTAGGTGTCCTACATATGGCATCCTTGCAAGAAACAATAATAAATACTATTATATATATGGTAATCAATGATAATTTATAACTTATCAAAAATATTAATAAAAAAAATCTAAACACGGTTCATATCCACTACAAATAATTCTCATATTTAAATATAAATACATGTTCGTTCCTGCTACATAGTATACATATAAAATTGTCACATATCCACGTTTGAAAACTACGGAAATTTCCTAAGGATAAGATTTCCTCTCTAACGTTTATCCTTTCCGTTTCTTAAACTATGGAATTTACGCGTCTATAATCATGACAGTTTACTATTATAGCAAAGGTTTAGTCCTGACTAAACCCTGGTTTAAATTCACACAGATACAAATTTTATCGGAATCATTTCATGCTTTAGCTATGAACATAACGAAGTAAGTAAATGCTTAGTTTAAAAACAGAAGATAGTTTATTATGAGAAAAAAAATACTCTTTCATTACAAAAACAACATCGGATATACTTTGAAAGTTTTAAGATTATCTTTATTTAGTATCAAAATGCATTCGTAAATATATTGTCAAAAATCTTAATATTTTACGTTGACTAACATATAATTCTTCATTATTTTCAGTTAGTTTCAATACAGAATTACAAAGTTTAACAACACGAGTAGATTGAGTAATACAAGTTTAGTAACTTATTAAATCTATAACATTTCATAAGAATGCATCAGAAATTTCGTTCTTACGACGATCAGCAAATAAAAAAAAGCGGAAATTTTAAAGAGCCCTCGACGTTTTCAAGAAGCAGTGTTAACACAGTGACACTTATTGAGATTGGGGTCATGAATAATGCATCCGAGCGTGCCTTTGTGTGCGTGTAAGTACCTGAACCCTTTACAGACTACTGTCCGGCTGACGATCGAAATATAACACCTTTATACAGGTATTATATGAATAAGTTTGTATCAAGGAACCGTTATATACGATAATCTTAGAACGAATCTAGTCAAACAACGTATAAAAATCTCAAAAACTTACTTCTGACCTTGTTTTAGTCTCGATTGCGTCGAGTTCATATGTAAAGAGGAACTTTGTATTAAAGTACAAGTTTTTATTTGAATATATTAATAAATAATAAGATTACTATATAATAAACATATATAACCCTAAATAAAATATTCTAATATGACAATTATCTACCGTTATATTTTTAAATTCGGCTGTAAAAAACATTTGATAGGCCTATATTTTACAAAATTGACATTCTATATGATACGAATAAGCATCTGAGTTTCAGTTTCTCTGTGTTACCAGAATCGGTTTCAAGTAACTTAAATATTAATATATGCAAGAATAATTAGATCAATAGTATTGAAGAAGTTATTTAGTCTCGTACGATTACCCAAATTGAAATCTAATTAAACACAAAGTGATAAAATTTAGAAGATTTTCAGTTTAACTAGTTTATCTTAGTTCTTTATCTGTTTAAAATAAACCTATGTTTGGTAAGGATTCTTAATAATAATAGATTTGGGCTAAATGTATTACACGAACCATTGTAAAATCTAAACTCTCCTTACTAGTACACTGATCAAACAAACTTGTTATATTTATTTTGCAATTCAGTTATTCGATATCTTGATACGAGTTACTCATTGAATGTAATTAAAATATACTGACATGGCTCTCACGAATGTAATACAAGAAGGTATTAAAACGTGTGACTTCTGTAGCGTATATCTACCAAACTTAAATAGCACTCAAAAACTTCTTAACTATAAGAAAAGCAATAATAATTCTAAACAATAAATATGATGAGATGAGACACACATTGAAATTATTGAAGCATTTTAAAACGATAAGTGTACAAAACGATTCGGTTCTATTAGTCACTATAAAAATTTTAATAAATATATTTTATTACATTTGTTTTAAATATTTTCTTTAATCCAATCTTAAACTTCGTCATTTACATGTGACATAGTGATCATAATTAGCGTCTTTATTTAACTTTACATGTTCTAAGCCATACATATATTATTTTCTATACACTTTAATTTATCTTCCTTAAATCATACCTCTGATATACGCATCTATAATCGTTTTATGTTCTCCTTATATACATATCAAGTGTGTTAATACTTACCTATTTTTTCAAATACGTATCATTGTTATTCAACTTTTTCTCCCAACTTCTTCTCATCAATGTATCCGTTTCTTTCATAAAGAAATCCACATCAATATCATCATTCGGTTACATGCACTTCACCCTCATGTTTCATTTCGTTGCTTCACTCAAACACAAACAGGTATATATACTGTTTTGTGAATTTTATCCTTAAGAGGCATTTTTGGGTCACATATTGTTCTCGAGATCTGTCGTTGTATATTTTTAATTTTTTCCAGATCATGTTGTTGTTGTTTAAAATACAATACAATTGAAATCCTATCATTAATAAGTATTTATTTACACATATAGAGTTTTTTTCGACTTAAATGAGTCTGGGTATATAATTATTATTGGTATTATTTGTTGAACTTCCAATATGACGTAACCTTTAAAAGATTATCCGTTAATTTTATATCAAGACTGACCAAATAAAGAAGACCAAAGCAATTATCAACTCCTCCTTATGAAGGGGAGTTTAAAACACGAACTTCACAGACAATATAGCCTCACAGTTTTTCATTTTCATTGTGAGCTCTTTGAATACATATTTGTATAAGCTTATGCACAACAAGCTGTAGAAGTTAGACGGATATATATTTATGTATAATTTCAAATGCAAAGAACTTTATTAGTGGCTGTGATTAAAAAAGATTTCCTTTGAAACCTACGTCTATATTAATCAGAGAATGAATCTTACAAGTACATTATCTTGACGCCAACAAACCAAGAAATACTTATACATACATAGAACTAGACTTACAACTCCTATACTATTTATAGGTCATTGTTTGTGTTCTGAATGAAATATCTAATCAGGTAAAGTAAACATTTACTTCGATAATTGCAATATCAATAGAAACGTTATTGAGATAATTCCCTCGGTGTCATATGTTACCTGTTCTGACTGATTGGCCAAAACATTCAAAGGTTATTGACTGAAACTATTAACAAATACTAAAATCAATAATAATCAAGTTACGTACGCGCTACATATTAAAAACTAAGTGAACATCGCCGGGTTAACATCGTTGTATGGATAAAATATCATATAACGAGTGACGCTGATGACTCCGCGGAACGAACACCAAGACGTGTGAACCAAAAGGTTTCTGATACCACACAAGCTATGGAATGGTATTTCTATGCTAACATCGATGCAATCATGTAGTCTTAAGTGTCATCATCATCAGCCTATCACAGCCCACTGCTGAGCAAAGGCCTCCTTCTCACATGGAGAAGGTTTGAGCATTAATCACCACGCTTATTCAAGACGGGTTGGTGATTTCAAACTTATAATTGTGAAATTATAAGTCCAGGTTTCCTCATGATGGTTTCCTTCACCATCTGTCGGTGATGTCTAAATACCCTCAAATAGTACATATGACTCGGAAAAATCACATTGGTACTTGCCAGGATCGAACCCGCGCTCTCTTGCACGAGAGGCGGGAGTTTAACCACTAGGCCACCACTGACTATACATGCTATAGTCTTAGGTGGAGGTTATAAGTTTTAATATGTAATTATTATTCTAATATACATATAAGTAAGATTCATAGTTTTCAAGCAACCTCTAGTTGCCACCCTACATAATTATCATAATATAAATAGCCCTTGATGAACCACATATTCAATATACAGGGTGACTGGTGAATTACTATCAATATTTAAGGAGCATACTCGGTACATGATTCTCATTCGAATTATGTAAAAAAAATAGGCACTTAATTTTTGACAAAATTTCCGTAAAAATAAATAAAGTGTTGACACGTTCCAAGTGTTCCAAGTGTGGACGCGTGCGGCGGCGTGCTGATACAACACTACGCCGCCGCCGCGTCTGTGTGAGTGTGTATGTATACCTAATCTGTAGGGTGTTCATACGATGCGTAATTAATTACATAACTTTTGGTTAACTTTACTTAGAAGTTTATTAATATTTATGTTATATTAATTTTTATCTTGTCATATATGATCGTCAAATATCACGTCCTCAAGTATCGATAGTAATTCACCAGTTACCCTGTATATTATATATAAACTATAATGATATCAAAAAGTTAGATAAATGATCTGACAGTTTGCAAAATTTAATTAATAATATTCTTTGAAAGTTCTGCGTTGAGATTATGAAAGAATTGTAAACTTAAATGAATGTTGTTGACGTTTACGTTCTTTAACATAAGAGGAAGTTTCCTTAACAGTGTATTCAAGATAAAGTCAAGATTTCTTATTAATGTCCTCATTTTATTAGCTGTTTGACTTGCTATATACAAAGGTATATATAGTATTTTAATTTAACTGATTTAATATGCAAAT